TCCATCCCTGCCCTCTGGCAGTGGGAAGCCATTCCCTGTGTCCTGTCCCTCCATCCCTTGTCCCCAGTCCCTCTCCAGCTCTCCTGGAGCCCCTTTGGGCTCTGAGCTCTCCCTGAATCCTTCTCTTCTCCAGGCTGGAAAGCCTGAATTCTCTCAGAGGAAAGGTTGTTCCATCCCTCTAATCCTCATGGACCTCATGCTTTCCTGTACCCAGGAAAAATCAAAGGACCCCTCTTCCAAGATGCCAGTAAAACCATGCCTCTAAATAAACCAGGAACTCCTCCAACTCAAACCAGACAAAATCAGAATAAAACCAAGCAGACCAAACAACTCCACAGAATCACCATCTTTCTGTTAAACTTCCCCTTCCTGGTGCTCCCAGCTTTCCTGTCCTTTGCCCCAGCACAGCCCTGGCACAGCAAGCCAAAACAATTCAGGAAAATGATGCAGGGGGAAATAAAAAGGATTTATTTTTCCTGAAGCAGGCTGAATTGGCTGCTATTTCCATCGGACAAGAAACATCTCTGGCACAGCACAGGCTGGCAGGAGCAGGGAAACTGAGGAGGAGGAATTGAGAAGGGTGGAGAGGCAGGGTAACACCTAAGGATGAGCTGGTGACAAACTGTTAATTCAGCTCAGCTACAGCACGAAACTGTACCCCCCTATCTTGGGAAATCTAAACCCATTTCTCTCCTGAATAAAGCCAAGTGAAATACCTGACTGTTTTGCCACCTATGAAATGGGGGTGATGGGGATCTACGGCATCTCAGTCTTATTTAATCTAAATACACCTTTACAAAAGGAGCTTCAGAAGCACAGACAAGTGTTAAAATAAAAACCCAGAGCCATAAAATCAAACCAAATAACCCTCAACCAGAAAGCAAAGTCCCTGCTCCCTAGACAAACTGAAATACGTTCAACTGATGAATTATTCATTTTTGTTTAGGGCAGAATTTACAGTTATTTTAATTTAATCTTTGGATAAAGCATATACTTAAAAAACAACACTCAACTCCCCCCCTCAGTCTTTAACAGCACTCATGAAAAGTGCCTTAAAAAGGGTATAAAATCACCAATTCTGCTGCCAATCTTAGATATTTTTTTTGTCTGAAAAAGAAGATAAAACTCTACTCCAACATATGATTAGGAGAGTAGCATAAATCACTGGGGGAGAAAAAATAATAATAAAAAAAATAGACCGACAAGACAACACAGCTTCATTAAAAAAACAGAAAGCCCTAAGGGAATTTTCAATTTCATACTTCTAATGAGAGGGGTTGAAAAGAAGAAGCAAAGCAGAGAAAAGAGGAAAAAAGAAACACAACATTATCTGTGGGACAAGACGTAACAAAAAAAGAACACGAAAGTGAACCAGAAAGAGGCTTTCAAGTTTAACCTCGGGTTTGCACAGAAAGGACTCTTGCAGTCTTAGCTCTGCTCCCAAAGGAGGGCAAAGCCACACAACAACATCGACACACTCAAAACTCAGCATATTCCATGAGCAGGAGGCTCCACAAGAGAACAGGTCAAGGTTGGCATCAGTAGCACTGCAGTTGTCTGAACCACACCTAGTCTGCAGTTAAATATAGAACTTTACTTTCTGGAACCACTGCTCCTCTTAACCTTCAGAGCATAAATATTCAGGGAGATATCTAAAGAAAAATAAAAAGTAAAGGGATAAAGAGACCTGAATTTATTGTCCAAAAAAATCTAAGACCAGGGATTAAAAAACTACCCTGGGAGGATTCCAAAAAAGCAGTAAAGGCTGGAGAATTGAATTACAGAAACCACAAGCAGCATCCTGGAAATCCAGTATAAACCAATTAGTTCCTTTAATACACATACCCTGTACTCAGACCCTCAGGTACATCAGACATTTCAGGATAAGGCCCTAACTCTAATCTTCATTCTGTCAGGTTGGCACCAATATAATAATTAATTAACTGGATTTTTTTTGTTGATTTAAAGCTTTTTTTAAAAAAAAGAGAAACTACCATTTCAACCCTCACCCTTCTCATTCAGTTCATGGATCAAATCCTGACCGGTGCAGCGCATTTTCGATTGGAGAGCCTGCTCCTAAGAAACAAATCCCTCAAAATTTTGTAATCACATTCAGATTCTTCCCTTGAAGTACTCTCAGCTGGTCTGACACAGAAGACTTTTAGCAACTCCAACTTTTACCAACTGAACCCAAGACAAAAGCAAGAGCACGGGGCACAATTCAGTGATGGAACAGGTCAACACCCTCATCCTCAGCCAAAAAATGTTTATACAGCATCACAGAAGCATTTCAGAGAGGAGTTCTGCAGAGATTCCACTAAGCCCTGGATTCCACCCTCTTATCTTCAGGCATTAAACTAAACCATCAAAGTTAGTTCTAATTGCAGGAGGCAGCTGGAGAGGAAGGTGCACAGAGCCCTCCTCTGAGTGCATTAGTGGGATGGAATTGTCTCCTGGATCTCTGTTTCTCCCTCCTGGACAGGGATCAGCCCAAATGAACGAGCACTTTCCTGAGGTTTCCAGAGCAGCAGCTCCAAAACCAGGTGCCTAAATCCTTGTGTGCACCAACATCAGAGCCAGAAGCTGCAGGACACACAAACACAGTGCACTCAAAGTTACATTTCATTAGGGAAAACAGTCCATTAAACTGAGATGCCTCCACTCAGAGTCAAAACTTAATCCTGCAGAGGAAAATGCAAATTACCAGACAAATGGCACCACCAGCCTACAGGCAATGCCAAACACCATTTTAGTGGCCAAGTGCTTATTCCTGACCCTGGGCCATCAAGGGAACCTGATCTGCTTGGGCCAGAGGGGTCTGGTTACCTTCATGCTGCTGCTGTTATGAATTATATCATGGCCAAGCCTGCAAAACTCCAGTGACCTGTAAGTGAAATTAGTGACTTTTTTTCCAAGGGCTCCCAGAAGAGCGTTTTTCTCCCACTCTTTCAAAACTTGTCACATAAAACAGCTCATCCTTACAGCTCAACGAGGCCTTTTAAAGCACAACAGTTAAACAACCATATTCCCATTGCTTTATGGTGTAGCTTTATTGTCACACAGCACTTTTACTGTGTTCTTGCCTCGAGTAAAACTCCTCAGCTTTGCTTCCCAGTATCCCACACAAGGCTGTGAAACCCAGCACCCACAGTGACCCAGCCAAGGGCTTGGCAAATTAATATTAAAAGCCAGGATTAAGGCAATGTGGCAGCAGCAGAATAAGGAGAAAACACCAGCAGCAAAGACTTTACAGAGTACAAAACCAAGAACAACAAAGAAGAAGAATTTAATGAAAAATAAGATCCAGCCATTATGTATCTGCATTCATAACTAGATGATTTCCAGTGTCAAGACCAACTTGATTTTTTCAATTCTCAAATCCAAAGCACACACCTTTCTAACAGATGTACTAAAACACCACAGTTTTAATTTCTAGAGCGTCCCAGCAGAGACTGGCTCGAGGAGAGAGGTGGATGAGGAAAGGGTGGCTTGCTCAGCTCTCTATCAGCAATTTTCCCAGCAAAGAAATCTGAGGCACAATCAGGGCTCAAACAGCAAATAACAGCAGTTACTGTACTTTGGGCCAGACAGAAACCAGGAAGAAAAACAGCCATGCCCAAAACCAGCCATGCCCAAAGAGCTCTGATTCTATTCCCAATAAGCATTTCACACACAGAGGGTTGATCAGGAGATGGGTGCTGCCCTGAAGGCACAGACAGCTGTGGTGGTTCTGTCCTGCACACACAATCAGGACAGTCAGACAAACATTTCAAAGTGCTAAAGATCCTGTCCTGCCCCTTTGCTCTGCCTCTGTGGAGGGGGACACTAGAAAAAACACACTATCAGATCACAGGTCTTTGCATTAGTTGGGCCTAAAAAGGCAGAACAGATTTTAAACATTTACGTTATTTCCTTTGGGGAAACATTCAGGCAAAGCCAAAAATATCAATGCCAGATAAAATATCAGTGCCAGGCCAGAACAGGGAAACAAACATTTAAGTTACTGGTTCCAGTGCTGCAAAGACACAGAAGTGTGTCCAGCCTCTGCTCCTGAGGGAGCTCAGGATTTCAGTCTTAGCTCTGGCAAAAGATGATCTCCTGCTCCTAATCAGTTCCCAAGACCCCCATGCAACCAAGAGGAAAGGGAAGCATTAAAGAAATTGTAAAATCACATCATACAAATCTGCTGGCTGAGATCTCACAGGGGTTGCAGACCCAGGAGGAGGGTAGCACACACAGTCATCCAGTCCTTCCATGGAAAGGAGGCTCCTCAGAGGGGGGAAAACTCCTCCCAGCCATTTAGCCCTGGACAGAAATAAGCATTCATCCCTAAACTACATCCAAGTTCCCCAGCCCTTTTCTACAGTACAACATTACCCACAAAAGAGATGTTCCTGTAAGCAGAAGGAAAGGCAAAGCATGCCTGGGCTCAAAGAGGAGAGCTGAGAGCTCAAATGATCACCTGCCACTCTGCATATGGATTTGAAAGATCCACTTTGCTCTGTGCTGCTCCCAGCTCCTGTAAAAGGGTTCTAAGAGCCTTTTTGGACCAGGAATCTACGGCTTGTTAGGCAAAGTTCTGCATCCCAAACAATTACAGCGCTGCCGAAATGCCGGTATCCACTTTAAAACACCACGAGGCATCAGGAAGAGAAGTCAGGAAAGTGGAAAGGAGAAAATGTAGAATGGAAAGAGCTTGCAAGACCCTCCCAAGAGAGCCCAGATCAGGATAAGTGGAAAAGTTTCTGCAAGGAGAGCTGAACACCAACACGTTCAGACTGAGCTAAGGACATGATGTACAAAAATAAAGAGATCCGGAGCAGAGCTACAATTTTTTAAACAACACAAGAGGCGAAACAGCTCCTCCTACTCCACCATTACAAATCCAATTCTTACACGCTTGCACGAGGCTACAACATATCCATGAAAACCAGAGCAGGGAAAAGGACCCTTGCCTTGGCTTTCCCATCTCCAAACCCCCTCAGAGAGCCAGCACGTACCTCTCCATAACAGCCAGGCACTCCTTTCTCCACGTGAACCGACTGCCTCGCCGTAGTCTGAAGGTCCCAGAGGTAGCTGTGACTGGGGGAGGCGTCTGTCTCCATTCTGGCTCTTCTATTGGGATGGGAGCGGGTCTCATGCTTAGTGTAGCCCCTAGGGACAATAAACACTGTGTTTCCCAGAGGGTTAAAAATCAGGCTCGTCCTCTCACTCCTGCTCGTGAAAAAAGAACAAAACAGGTGATGAAACCGTTCAAACTGAAAAAAAATATAAAATATTATCAAAGACAACTTAAAGGTGTACAAAGCCAGCTAGAATTCCCATTCCCCAACCTCCAAGGCACAACGGGATGACCATGGAAATCCAAGGAGCTGATGGGCACTGAGGAAAATCTGTCTTGTCTTCATCAAGAGGAAAAGGGTGAACTGTGCCCCAGATGGGATTCATTTAGGTTGTGCTGCCACCTCAGCTGTCACAAAAATGGGCTCCCAAGTGCCAGGGTGCCTGAAAAAGTCAGAGCAAGCAGATTAACATCACAACCTTCCTCTCCTGCTCCCCTTCTTTGGAAGTATTTCTCCTTTCCGTGACTCTGAGCTGGAAAGCATCAGGCACAAGACAGGATTTGGCAAGATGCCTTCAGGAAAGGCCCCTTTGAAACTTACCCCTGATCCTTTCCACAAAAGCCTCTCAGTTAATAAATCAAGATAAATAAATCAAGACACTCTGGGAGATCGATCTTTCCTCCATCCCTTGGTGAGGATGGGAATCTGGGATAGGACACAAGGACAGAAATCAGGGTATGTTCTGAAGGACAAGCTTTGTGCTCAGTGACTTCCCCTGCAGGGAAGAGAGAGCTGTTCTAGTCTGCAACAAAAAAAAACTAGAGAAAAAGGTTGTATGAAAAGATAAATCACCACCTATATCCCATAAGCATCCTGGGTTCCAGTGGAATTCCTGCACTGAGCCAGCCTGGACAGATCCAGGAGAAGCAGCAGCCCTGCTCACGGTGTTGGGCACCCTTTGGGTGCTCAGGCTCACTCAGAATGGCTGGGATTTAATCATCAAAACACACAGTGTTAGTGTAACAACACCGCTCCTCTAATACACAGTGGAGTGAAAGGGTCAAGGGAACCTAGGAGTTTAACCAATAAACAAATTCCTACAGCTAAAAAGCAAGAAATGAGCTGTTTAGGCACTTGGCTGCGTTCCTTTCCAGAAATGCACACGGAGTCTTTCTCTTCCTGCCAGGGGCTTGCATCTGTGTTAGGTAGTGGAGCCCAAAATAATTTACAAATGTTCCCCAGGAGGAGTCAGTAGGAAGTGAAGCCCACAATCTCTGCCTTGCACACACAAGGCACGGTGCCTCTCCCTAATTCCCAGCTAACGAGCCTACACAGATTACTTGGTTCCATTGAAACATGAAATATTTCCTATAGTGCCAATTTACTGGGAGGCCATTTCAAGGAGAGCTCCTTATCTAGTCTTTCTGCTACTTGCACAGTTTAGGGGGCTGGGTGGCTATCAAGTTGCCAGGTTTTAAATACACTTCAAAAACTTAAAAAAAAAAAAAAAAAGGGAAAATTTTAGAAAGAGACAGGGGAGAACAGGAAAAGAAATTAGCTTTCCCTGCACTGTGTTAGCAATATACTTTCCCTACCTAAAGATTTGATTTCACAGGGAGAGTACAGGAGTATCAGTGCTGCCTCACATCAAGGCAAGAGATGCAGAATCCTTCCATTAAATTTGCCTGAGATTTTTCAGACAAAGATTGAAAAAAAAATCTGCATCGAAAGCATAAATTTTCTGCTGCTGCTACAGGTATGTTCACGTACTGAATATAATACACTTTTTTATTTTAGTAGCCTTCCTAGATCAATTTAGCCATTTCTCTTTTCTATGGGGTAACATCAATATCAGCAGCAGATAAGAGAGGAATATGCTGAGAATTACAAGCAAGTACCCCCACACAGCAAGAGAGGAGGATGTGAATGCATAAAGAGGCCCAAAATGGGCTTGATTGAACGTGTGGAAAAATGGCAACATGGGGTGCTCAGAGCCCCCTCCAGAGCCTAAAGGGGCTCCAGGAGAGCTGGAGAGGGACTGGGGACAAGGGATGGAGGGACAGGACACAGGGAATGGCTTCCCACTGCCAGAGGGCAGGGATGGATGGGATATTGGGAAGGAATTGTTCCCTGGGAGGGTGGGGAGGCCCTGGCACAGGGTGCCCAGAGAAGCTGTGGCTGTCCCTGGATCCCTGGAAGTGCCCAAGGCCAGGTTGCATGGGGCTTGGAACAACCTGGGATAGTGGGAGGTGTCCCTGCCCATGGCAGAGGGTGAAATGAGATGACTTTGAATCCAAATTTATCATTTATGATATGCACACTTGATAAGGAACCCACGGAGCTTTTCCTCATCCCCATCTCTTCAATGAGCTCCCGTTTATTCTGCTGTTCCAACATTCCATCACAATATTCTCGCCACCCAGCTCCACTTCTTTATAACTTAGCAAGTTCCATCCTAGTCACCAGTTCAGCTTCTTTTTTTAAACCCCTTTAAAACAGCTTTTAAGGAGAAGTGAAACTTCTCTCCTGAGCAGACAGAGTGGAGAAAACACAGTACAAGGTTCTCAGTGTATGCATCAAACAGCAAGACACCTCTGAGGGGTGCAGAGGTGAAGCGCCTGGGAAGAACTCCTTTCACACGCAGAAATGAAAGGAGACAGCTCTCACTCCCTGCCAGTGCTCAGCACCTTCTCCTACAGCACTGCGATTTCTCTGTGAATTTTTTGTGTGACTGAGGATGCTGCAGGTGGGTTTGGGGGAGAGGAGGCAGGAGATGTGCTCTCCAGCTGGAATGGAGCTCTCTCCACGTTCAAAATTCCTCCTGGCCAAGGCTTGCACATCCCAGGTCCCATCCTGAAGGGAGGGAGTTGCTCTAAGAGCATCACATGCACTCGCTGCTCCCCAGCCCAGGGCTCAAGCAGGCCCTGCCACTGCACGGTCACAGAAAGCCCCAGGCATCTCCCAGCTCCAAGAAACCATTTCCTGGCAAGTTTTCATTTGCAGCAAGTACCTGCTGTACATTATCCTGATAAGAACAGATGCCTCACTGTATTTTTAGCCAGGCTGACCCCAGATCACACAATAAACACCTCTCGGTCAGAAATCAGCAGCAGCACAAGGTACAGGTGCTCTGTAGGGATACAGAGCCCAGGGTGGGGAGGAAGAGGAGCAGAGCCTGTTTGCTCTGCAGCTCTGTGGAACAGCACATTCCCAACCAGCCCTTCCCAGTGCAAACCTCGTGGGACAGCCAGCCCCTGATTTTGGGTTGGCTTTTCTTTCATAGCTAAACAAGAACCGCTATGAAAATAACAAAAGAGATGCTACATCCTGATAATAGCTCCCTTTCATTTTCCCTTTTGTTCAAGGAGGAAGAGCCCATGGCTCTCTCCAAGGTGACCACAGCTGCCTTCCTATTAGAGAAGAGTGGCAGAAATAAATACCCAGCCTAAATGGAAGCAGCCTGTAACCATCTGTAACTTTAACACATCATTTCGAGGTGCCAGCTTCAGTTTGCACTACACAGAGGCAAGAGACAAGCTGAAGTTACTCCATGACAAACTTCCCACATTGCCCAATAGCCAGTGACAGGGAAATTAATCAGGATAACAACTACCAATCAAAAAAAAATCCCCAAAATTATTTAAAACCTATGGGCTCTGAAAATAATAGTGAGAACACTGCAGGACACTACTGGCTTCTGAAATATACAGAATTTATCTATTGCCAAAATGCTCTCAGTCCTCCTTGAAACACAGGACAGACAAGTGGTGCCTGTGTGAAAAAAGCTCCATCTAAATGAAAAGTATCCCTATTAATTGGAATAAAGACCTTTTAAACACCTGCATTTAGCACTGACTTCTTCCCTTCAACAAAAAAAAAACCACTGCCTTTCACCCTAACTGGCAACTCCTTCCAGAAAAATTTCCATCAGTAGCACACTGGAATTCACAGCACTGCCATTAACTCTGACATCACTCCTACCAAGAAAACATTGATTAAGACATTTTTTTGAGCAAGATTATTGCATACAGTGGGACAAGTGGGTGTTTTCCTCCTGTTCCATGAGACTTCAAGTCTCCTTTGCAACATTCCAGTCTGGTGCTGTCTGAACACCCACCACCAAGGACAGGAGAAATGCAGAAACTGCCCATGCAAACCAGCAATCAAAGCCAGGCAAATAACAAACAGCACATTCAAGAGCTCAAAGCCAGCTGGAAAAGAATGGAAGGGATGGAATTGCTGAGTCTCTTCCATATAGGACCAGCAACACCCTAAAACTGCCCTAAGGCTCCCCAGCATCAAGTCCTTTGGTTGGCAGATGCAGCACTGCTTGTGGATGATTTAAAGCATCACACAGCACATTTAAAAAAAAAAATAAAATCTTTTGATATATTTTTAAGTCATAATTTGCTTATATAAGCACAGTAAAAAGACAGGTCCTGCTGTGAGGAGCTGAAGGCAAGGCAGGGGTGTCACCCACAGGGAAAGGTCTCACCTGTATCCAGGAGATAGAAAAGGGACATAAAAGGTGAATTCTATAAGTTGCAGAGAAAAACTGGCAGAGCCAAGGGAAAGTCTGCCAAGAGATCTCCAGTCCTTTCTACACAAACTATTCCTTCACAGTTTAGAAATTGATTACATCTGCTGTCCTAGTCCTCCAAAACTGTTTCAATTTTAGGTTTTCTTTCCATTACTACACAAATTCAGTCAAAAAATGGGTTTACTCTGAAGATCCAGTTTTTCAAGATTAGGAATTACAGAAACTTGGGAACCAATAGTTCCCAAAAGCCTCACTTTGCCCTCTGATAACTCAAACCTGCAGGTCCTTCTGCATACAAACTTGACTTTCTCTCAAAGGACAGAGATCTTCCTCCAGCAGCTGGAACTGGAAAAGATGGGATGTATGAGAACAGAAAGCCAAATGCCATCTCTTACTAAATGAGCAACTGAAAAAACCCACATGGCAGTCATTTCATCTCTCAAGTTTCTTCCAAGGAGGACAATCCTTCACACCCTACAGAGAGTGTGGTGATGGCAGCACTTTTTGGGAACATGGCAGGAAGCCCCAATGATTTCCTCATTTTCTGTCTCTAAGGAGGAAACCAGACCAGCTACTCTGTCTACTAATCACAGGATACTGTGTACTAGCACCCAAAACTCCAGCTCCAGATGGTTTTTTTAACAGTGATTTAAATCCAGGACAAGGTTGGTGCCTCCCTTTGCACACTTTTTCATACCCATGTTAATTCTTCTTGGCTACCTAGTCTCACCTGCAATATAATAGATGGCAATGACTCAAAGAGTGGATTAGCCTACAGTGAATAAATAAATACAACCCCATTTTCCTCAGATTTTCAGATAAATCAGATAGATAAAAATCAGATAGATTTTTCCTGACAGTGAGAGGAAAACTGAAGGTTCTTCCCTCTACCTCACCTTCTAAAAAGAAACCAAGTGCTGTCTGGTTCTAAAAGGAATTTAAGTGCATCCAAATAGTCCCTTAGCTTAGGCAGAGGAAACAATTTGACTTTTACACTCCTTGAAAATGCTGTTTAAGATCTCTTATTGGGAAAAAGGTTACACTCAAACAACCACTCTTCAACGAGTTTTTCCATGTCTAAAGCAAAGCAGAGTTAATATTGATTCATTTCAATTTCAGCCAAAATCTTCAGTGTGGAAAATCTTCCTTCCTATGACAACTCTCAAGAGCAAAAGGACAAACAAGACATGAGCTCATGGATATGGGGGAAAAAGAAAGTAAAGAGGAAGAAGTAAAGATTTTAGAGCTAGGTTGTACAAGGGTTCTGTTATTAGCACAAAATACTATTCTTTAAACAGCTCCATGTAATACTGCAAATAAAGGATGCAAGGCTGGGAAAAATCCACACAACAGCTTTCATCTGGAGAGGGTTTTGATGGTTTTTACACCTCCCAAAAACTCTCAAGTCCTTCCACTGCTTTGGAGGCAACACCTTTCATCAAAGGGAAATGTCTGGGAGTTACTTTGTAGGGTAAAACCCAAGCCTTTCCAAGCAGCTGGCTCTGGATGGTTGTACCCAGGAGTTCTGCTGATCCTCAGTATCACAAGTCCAGCCAGCGCAAAAATCAAGGCTTCTTGGCACTTTTACTCTTTAAAACAACTTTAAGAAAATGAACCTTAAGATGCTTCACAGAAAATACAGGCTCAGTTATCCCTCTGAACCCACCCAACTTAAATCTGAATTATTCTCAGGCCAACTATCAGCTGGAGCCTCTTGATTTTCAGTTTATACACAAAGCAGAAGTTTTGAGGCTCTGTTTCCACTGGAATTTTTCTTAATAGAATTCTGGATATTGAAGCCAAGTTCACATTAGAGAGCATGAGTTTTAAATTCCTTGAAACAATTACACAGTTAATTTAATCAAGCCAATGTTTAAAGGAAATTAAACGTAAATATTTTGATCTTTACAATAAAACTGTTAAAAGGGAAAAATAAGAACTGTGATCAAACAAAATCTATGGAGAAGAACAATACAAGGAAATTAATTCAACTGTGATTTTGAAGATTGCTGGTTAGTTAAAGATAATGAGGAGCTTTACTTCTCTTTTTGTATTCAAGATCTATTCTGAGATATGGAAAAGCAGGTGGGATTTGAAAGACACATCTCCAGCTTATCACTGTAACTATCAACATCCCATCCGTGAGCTTGAGATCCAACCCAAAATCCTCTGAAGATCCTCTCTGACAAACTGGGTGGGGTTTTTTGCTGCAACTTTATATTATGCAGCCATTATTAATGGTTTCTATTTCTTCATTCTGAAGATACTCAGCTTCTATTTGATGTTTACTGATTACAACTTCACTGGCTGCTTCTGATTCCCAGATTTAGTGAGTGGTGGGAGGGCAGGGCAGGTACCTGTGGCTGAGGAGCTCTGGATGAGCCAGCTCTGGATGAAGCAGCTCTGCATCATTTCTTGCCAAGCAAAAAGCAATTTGTTCCCACCCTCCTAAAAATCAACCTGGTCAGAGGGAGAACCTCTGGAGTATCCCAGATTCCAAGAAGTGAATTATCAGTGCTAATAAACAAAAGGCTTCCATTCCATAAATAAACAGCAGGAGATATTGAGGCTGCATTTGTTTACCAGGATTTGTCTTCTCAAGCTGGTACCATCTGTAAAATGCCCTTTTCTTCTGTTCACTCAGGTCCGACCCCTGCTGCAACAGCCAATGGGAGATCCGGCTCTGACTGATACCTGTGAAAAACCAGAACAGAAGAAAGAAAAAGTTCTTCTTTACCAAACATTTAAAAGTGGTTTATCTACTGATAAAAGGTGGTGTCTTACAAAGCCCAGGAACTTGTGATGCTTCAATCCCAGAGAAAGCAGAGTTGAAGCTCCCCTGCTCAGTCCCAAACTGCCCAAATTTCTCCCTGGAGCTATGTTCAACCTCACTCAAGGAACACCCTGGAATCTGCATGATCAGCCCAAAAACAAAGAGGGTAAAAACTGATAAGCCAAAGCTATCACAGACTCAAACTGTCCACACCTTCCCTGATTCCTAAACTACATCTGTGAAATGGGAACAAGCCCCTTCCCCACTATTATATAAAAAATGATTGTTAGGAAATTCTTATCATCCGATGCTTGAATAAGAAAGGAGCTAAACAAAGGAAACAGTTTATGTGACATAGATCACATCAGCACAGAAATGGAGCAAACCAACTGTCAGCAGCTGTAACAACAGCCAGAAAAGAAGCCAGAAAGAGCAGCTGTCTGTCAGCAAAGCAGGAGCCAAGCTCGAGGTACCCAGGCATGATTAGGGACAAAACACTGCAGTTTTTAAAGCAAGAGTTCTAAGAAAACAGTAAGAAGGGGAAAAAATTCCTAGAAGTTAATAGTTATTTCCAAAGCGTGACAGGGAATGAAGGATCAATGCAGGAAGGGCAAGAAGTGATCAGCAGAGGAACTAAATACAGCAAGAGGTTTAGAAGTGCATGAAGAGGTCAGCAATAGGCTCATGTGAAAATGTCAAAAATGCAGTTTGCTGAGTAACTGAAGCACTACTTCAGAACACCCTGTGCCTTCCACAAGGCCCTTCAGAACAGGTTAACAACATCCAAACTCTCCTGAGAAGTGAAGTTTTAGGAGGTGCTCCAAGTACCAATATACTGCCAACACCACCTGTGCCACCACCTGCTTGGTGAAATCACCCGGGCAGGTAGAGGCTGGTTTGCACAGAGAACCCAAACTACCTCCCCCCTCTAGAGATGCATCAAGGTTTTATAAGCTCTCATAATCATATTTAACTCCTGAAAAACAGCCCCCTGTAGTTTCACCACTTCTAATGTGGGGGTTTATTATGGGGGTTTTTGTGTGTTGAAGGTAGTTAACTTCAAAATGTCTCAACTTGACTCTCAGGTATCATATTCAGGTGGGTTTACACCGACCAGATTTTTTAAAATCACTGGGTTTGTACTCTTAATTGTTTTTCCACAAGTAGAATTGTAGAGGCTATGAATTTTAAATTGTCCTGGGGGAAAGATGGGTGTGTTTTGTTTCAGATACAGCAGCTCACTGCTGTTCAGCAGAGCTGTGCCCACAAAACAGACCCTGATTTTCCCAGAACCTTGCCCTCAACCGACAGAGTTCAGGAACAGCTGGGACAGCCAAGAGCTGCCTACCCCCAGGGCCCACACTGGGATCTAAAACTGAGTTTATACTACTGGGGAAGTTGAATTAATCAACCAAACACAACCCTCAGACCCTGCTAAGTTTACATCAAGTAACTGTGGAAGCACACAAGTTAATACCAAAAGAAGGCAGTGTAAGTTGATAACACTCTCTGGCCCAAAATGAGGCTCCAGCCTTGTTGAAACCCTGCCATCTGCATGCCTCATCACCAGTGGAAAGTCCAAGTTTTGAAAATTTGCAGCTCTTGACCTATTATGATTGATAAAAGCCATTTCTTGTCCTGGCCTGTGGGACACAAAGGTTTGTGTCTCACTGCTCTTGGCTGCCCTGTTCCCATTAATTAATCACTGGGTAACAGCTCCAGTCATTTACTTGTTTACTACGGTCCACTTACACTTATTGTAGTGAATTAGCATGTGTTGAGTGTTTGGATAACAACCTAAGATACAAACACAAAGCACTGGCAGATAAAAATTATAAATAGAGATTACAAGTCTGCCCCGAGTGGAAAATCCAAATTCTGCTCAAGAGGCTGCCTGACACTGTCACACGTGGCACAGATGTCACCGCTCCAAACAATGTGCTCGAGGGCAAGGCACAGCAGCAGGAGCCAAAAAACTCAAGTTGGGTCTTGCCATGTCCACTTTCATGGCATCACAGAAAAATCTGAGTTGGAAAAACCTTTAAAGGTCAGCTAGTCCAACACCCCCTGCAATGAGCTGGGACACCTTCAACTGGATCACACTGTTCCCTGTCCAACCCGACCTTGAATCTTTCCAGGCATGGGGAAGACACCAACTTCCTGACCAACCTGTGCCACCTTCATCATAAAAAGCTTTTTTCCACAAATTATGCACTGTGCCAGTGTCCTGAACTGCATCAAAGTTCTCCCAAACAGAGCTGGATCTGTGCTGGGATCCTTTTGTGGTTGTCATCTAGCCACAGTAGCTGAGCCTCTGACTTACTGCGAGTCCTCACAGCTCATAAAGCTGCTGCTGTAGAATGTTTTTAAGGCATAAAATTTATCTGCACCTCAGCAAGGTTTAGAGGCCTCAAAACAGTATCCCAACAGCTTGACCAACCCAAGGTCACATGCAAAGTCTTCCAGAAGAACTCATCCAGGATGTCTCAGATCCCAGTGCTGTGGGATCCAAACCCATCGTTAACTCCTTTCAGTGTAAAAAACAAACCCCACAAATTGTCATGCCCGAGTTTCTTGCATCTCAAATGGGTTTCACACAGAAAACAGTGGTTTCTGGACCACCAGGACCCTCCTGTCTTGTTGTCTCTAATCACACTCTGCTTTAGGGAATTGCAGTGGCAGGAAAAAAGAAATCATCCTGCTGCCAGAAGCAATTAATGAAATAACTTCTCTGGAGTAGTGAAAATCCAGCTGTGCTGAGGAAATTCACTCTCCAAGTGAAGCAGGGACATCAAGGAGGGGTGTGCTGCTCCAGGCTCAGCATCAGCAGGGCCAGGAACACACCTGGTTATGAACAACAGCAGTTTTTTCATGGAAAATACTGAAGGAAAGTGGTATCCACAAAGGATTATTGCAGTTCAGATGCTTGTGTCACACTCACTCTTTCCCACAGCAGGTCACACTTCCCAGTGATAAAAAAAATGTGCTCACTCCCCTGGCCAGGCCTGCTGTGTCCTACACAACTGATTTAGGGAGAGCTTCCCCTCCAAACACATAAAATAAATGTCAAAATACATCATCAAGAGAAGGCCACTGCTATGTGCAGCTCAAACCTGCTCATAACCCTCAACTCTGTTATTCATCAAGTCTTTGGGATCCGGTTTTCACCTTCACAGATAGATTTGTTCAGCAGCTCTGCTTTGCATTTCTTTAATGTTTCTTTCAGGAGAGGTTTTCAGAAGCACCTGGAATACATCAGACCTGGAGAAGAAAGTAACTGCCTGTGTTTTAATTCTTCACTTTGTAAGCAAAGTCCCAGATTCAGAGAACAAGTGCTTGCAAAGGACATCTATCAATTTAGGAGATTAGCAAAGCTTGTTTACAGAAAACCTGCAAAGATCAAAATCATAGAAAAACATATCTCTGTGTTGTCATGAGTATTAAAAAAAAAAAAACAACCCAGGAAGGAAAATGTTTCTCAAAATGCAGTTTTATGCATTTTGAGATGATCAGTAATTCAGGAATTTTCTGAATTCTCTTCACAATGGAACTAGTAAAGTTTCCCTGTGTATTGGCATTTGTTCAGCATCCCTGTGTGTGGGTTCCAAACCTGTGGGGATTTTATTTGTTCCAGCAGTGCTCCAAGGCTGCCTTCCACTGCACGTGTGTTTTAGCATAATCTAAAGCCAAGTCCTGCAGATCTCCTATCAATTAAGGCAGAGGCAGGAGGACAGGGCTGGGTTGTACAAGCAGAGTAATTGGGAAGGGTACCAGAACTGCACCCTGGAAAGCTCTATGTGTATTTAAAAACAACCCAATAAATGATTTCTGCATTTTACTGTTGATGGGTTTGGTTGGTGTTTTTTTAAATGGTTGTTTGGGTTTTATGTTTTTAAGAACTGAGAAAACTGAATTGAAATTTCTGCTTTGTAACCTCAGGAAAAGAAGGGTGGTTTTTTAATTCCCTCACTCCCTATGTGTAAAAAACAGGAAAGGTAATATTTCCAAACCTTGCAGAGGCATCATCCATCAAACCACTTTAGCCCATCTGCAGAGGGCTCATCCCTGCACTTTACTCCCTCTCTCCTTTACTGTAGGACAGAAAGACATCAGTTCCTGAAAACACTTCCCCACCCTCCATCTAACTTGGGAAGCTCAGCCAGCACCTCTGAGAGAAGTTTACTTGTCTCTCTTCATCCTTTGCCTTCTGACCATAACCAGGTGCCCAATTCTTGTGGCAATTTAAGAAAACTGCAACACACAACTTCAAATTGTATTTGATCAAAATTTGGCAGCTCACCTGCCCCACGTGGGGCTGAACCCTGAGCAGGCTGCAGTGATGTTAAAAGGAGCTCCAAACACCAGGATAGGAAATTCCGCAGGAACTATTATTAGCTCCTGTTTATACTGTCATTTTTTCTTATCAGTAGGAGATTATTTATACAGAGCCCAACCCAAGTGCTCCTTGTTTATCTTATTACAGACACCATTAAAAAAGTTTCTATAAAAAGCAGCTCCTGTTTTTAGGACCAGCACTAGTAAGTGTTATGCTAAGTTTTTGCTTCTTATCAATCACCCTTTTATTTTCAAGTCACTTTTTAATACCCTGTTACTATTTTCCAACCTGCCCTGTCCTCTCCATACACCAGGCAGCCCTGTAGAATGTCTTCCAGGTTTAATTTTTCCTGTCAGATTCATTATCTAAATGACTTTTAAAGTTCCTGGTAATTTTATAAGGATTAGGAGAGCCTCAACATTTTTCTACTGCAACAGCTGACTTTAACCTTCAGCTCTGTTTTCCTCTCTCCTGCATCCTCCCTCTCCATCACTTGCCTTGTGCTACAGCAGGAAAAACAAGAGGAAAAGCTGTTTACTGATGCAGAGCTGCTCTGCAGGACTAAGGATTCTCTAAGTGCTTTGCAATGTTAGAATTAAGATAGGAAAAAGAAGAAATGTGTTTCTGAATGAAAGTAGTTTTGAAGAATTAGAAAAATAAGGTAAAAAGGAGGTTTCGAGGGGTCACAGTTGCAGTGGAGGTTTCTGCACCAAGGACAGAACACAGCAAGTTACAGAACGGGGATAAATAAGGTCATAAGGACCAGGGAAACGGAGAATTGGTAGAGGTTGAAAGGAAAAGTTCCCAGCAGAGGTAGCCAAGCCAAGCCAAGCCAAGCCAGTCTCCAGGACAGAACCAGCCATAAATTTTTCATTTCTTGCCTCTTCCCAAAGCAGAAGGGATGAATACTAAAAGCTAATATTTCTAACTTTCCTCTTGTACAAGTAACTTTTTACAGAAAATCTTTATCAGTAAGACTAAGGCTGTAAATCCTGAGGTGATGCCATTTGGGATCAAACAGCCTGCAAAGCCTTGGGCTATGCAAACTGGTCTTATACTGAACCAGAAGTGGTTTCCAGACATTCTTTGGGAGTCTCTTCCCCAGCTGAAAGGGATGTTGGAGGCATCTGAAGAACACTCAAAGTCTTACAGCACTCATCATGCCCGAGACAGCTCTGGAAGGGAGAGCCCTGGGACGCTCTGCTCCGGATCTCTGTCCCGCGCTATTTCAGTCACACCTCACCACTCCCTGCTTTTGAGAGGAAGCTGATGTTTCCCCCTGCTAGAGCTGAGTACACTCTTTAATCTGGTCCTTCCAAACATCTCTTTGAGATTTACCATTCCTCTCAGATAAGCCATTACTATGTACTTAAGAGTGGCATGTAAGTGCTACACATCTGCTTACACAAGGTTTATTTAAAATGGATCAGCTCCCTCCAAGCACAGGGAGGATGACTGAGATGCAAGGAGGTATTGGTTTCCCATGGATTTGTCTTGGAAACAACATAATAACACAGTGTTTTCAGCTCAGCCCTCATTCTGTCCCACTGGTACCCTGCAGTATTTCTCTGGTCCCTCTGTGAGCACACTGTGGATCCCCCTTGTGTTACGCAGGAGGGCTGAGTGGGAAGGGTGTGAAATTCAGTCAGCCAAGTCTGAAGTGGATGGTTGGTGTCATTTACTCACAGGAGGAAACAATGAGAGCTCCCAAAGGATAAATGCCAATTTAATGTCCATTGAAATCCAAGAGAACAGGATGGAAGGAAGGAAAGGATCAGGTGTGAAGAGAGTGGTCTTGTCTTTCCTACAGCTTCTTGCAAGGTATCAAACACACACCAAGACACTCAGTTAATTATAATTAGATCCATTCCTTTCACTGGAATGACTTGGATCTGGTGTGGTGATTCTGATTCAATGACCCCACATGTGGCAATCCCATTGACCAAAAAAAGTGTCTCCTTTTGGAAAGACTCTTTTTGTGCTGTTTTTTTCTCTGCAGTACTTCTCTTGCAGGGGAAGCCAGCCTGACTTGCTGGGTGCTACACAAAGGTTAATTCAGAGATGGGTTCTTCCAGGACTATATTCAGGCAAGGAATGAACAAAAGCAGGAGACTGGCCCACTAACTACCAAAATTGTAGAGTTCAGGTACAATTTAAGCAACTCAACTTACATACAACTTTTTGCAGTATTAGTGCTAACATCTGATAAGGCCAACATCCCTTACATTTACACAAATAGTTAATCTCATGATTTTCCAGATGAAACTGACACCAGAGAAGGAAAAGTCATTTTACCCAGGATCACAGAAGAGTTGAAGACACACAAGGAATTCCTGGCTCTGTGGTTCAAGCACCAGTTTGTGTTTGCCCACCTCAGCTGCTGCCACGTCTGCAAACCCACAGCTCCCAGACAAGTGGGTTCCTATGACATTTCAAATCCTGGAAATATCATAAAAGAACAACTTCCCTCCTACTGATTTTGAATTCCCAGACATCAGGGAACCTTAAAAATCATCTGTTTCAAGATCTTCATCCAAGCTTGGGTTAAAAAGTTAACAAATGGGATTGAGCTGTCTGAATGTTATCATCAAGTCTTCATCCTAAAAGAAGGGCTGGAGTGAATCCAGGGAATGGAGCTGGGGAAGGGGCTGGAGCACCAGGAGCAGCTGAGGGAGCTGGGAAAGGGGCTCAGCCTGGAGAAAAGGAGGCTCAGGGGGGCCCTTCTGGCTCTGCACCTGTCCTCTGGTCCCCTGACAGGAAACAGGGACAGGATGAGAGGGAAGAGCCTCAAACTGTGCCAGGTTAGGTTCAGGTTGGATACTGAGAACAATTCCTGCCTGGAATGGGCTGTCCAGCCCTGGCACCAGAGCAGGGGTGGAGGAGTCCCAATCCCTGGAGGGATTTAAAAGCCATGTGGATGTGGCACTTGGGGACACGGATTAGTGGTGGCATTGGCAGAGCTGGGGGAGTGATCAGACTCAATGGTTTTAGAGTGCTTTTCCAACCAAAATTATTCTGAGGCTGTTCCAGGCAAGAGAAATAGTAATACCCCACCCCATGGAGGAGCAACAGGACTTTGTCATCCTCTCTGTAAAGCTCTGGGAAGAAGAACAGGGAAGAAGTGGCCCCACTGCACCTGTCTGGATGTGAGAGAGAAGGCTCAGGGCACAGGGCACCAGAACCGCTGCTCCTTCCAGGTAAAACCTGAGCTGGTCTGGTCATCCCTTAACTTCCCTTCAGATTTTCATTAATTCTGACTCAAAGGATGGATAAAACTTCCAACTCTCCTCCTGCAACTCCTTGCTGCAGAGGTACCAGATATAGCTGTGTCCCCTGACTATTCATATGCTTTTTAATATATAAATACACGTTATCTCTCTCTCTCTCTCTCCATACCCAGAGATGTAGATACACATCTATTTGCCATACTCAACAACAATTTAAGAATTAAGGAAAACCATTTTCATTTTAAGATAAGAACTTCAGGCTTTATTATAATGCTGTAAAATAAAATCTGCCAGCACAAGCCACAGGAAAAAAAAAAAAAAAAAAAAAAAAAAAAAAAAAAAAAGAAGAAAAAAAAAAAGTGATTCACTGGGGAAGTTCCATGATGTGCAGGACAATGGGTCTTAAATCAAAGGCATACATTATCATGACTAAGCTGACAGATCTGCACTGCAATGCAGAAAGCCAAGTGATATTCCAACATCTGCACCGTGCTCAGACAGGCAGCTCAGCCACAGAGATTCCCAAAATGAGGAAAGGACTCCCCAAGCTCTTACCTGTTACCTGTGCAACAACTGCTTGGGAAATTCTCCGGTTGGCGAGGAAGGCTTTGATTTCCTCCTTTATCACACTGCTGTCCCTCCTACCAAAACAAAACAACAGGACACACAAAAAGAGGGACGGACCAAAACGCATCTGCAAGATGCAAAATGCCTTTATTTCCTTTATTTACAGGACTAGGAGTGGGGAAGGCTGGAATTAAAGCAGCCCAAGTGGCTCAGTGCTGGACACTTCTTTTAACAAGTGTCACGTTTGATCAAAGTACCATAGCAGGAGAATGGATGACTCATGTCCCATATAATTCATATTAGGTGCAGCACTGCCATATGGAATGTACAAAGTTTCATTACACAGGGATGAATAAATCTCTCATACCAGCATAAAAACCTCACTCATAAAAATGAGGCAGAAAAATAAAAAATAAAGGATAGCAGGAGCTGCATGGTTAGTTACCCAAATGAATATGCATACACCAACCTCTTCCAGCATCCCAAGGAAAAGATCCAAAATTTTGCAGCCTCTGTCCTTAAGTCCCCTACTTAGTCTAGAGCTTGCACTGAATGAACTGAGGTCTTTGTATGATTTTTACAAGGTCTGCACAGGTAGCTCAGAAGGGGCAAAAACTGTGCTAAAAAGCAAATAAATTGGAGGTTGCACATGTACTGTGATACATGGCAAATTTCAATTGCAATAAACATATCCTTTGCCCCTCCTCTTCCTCTCTCCCTTCCTGAGAAGGGCAGGCAATTAAAACCAGCCTTTATTAGGCTTTCTGAGACATCTCCCTTCCTCTTCTCCCCTCCTGCCCTAGCAGCGTTGAAGACAGACTCAAGCTTGCAAATGTAAATGCAAAATGAATGCTGTGCTGTGGGTTCATTTTTATTTCTGTACCAACACTCATCTTCCATATGCCTGCAAAAACAAGTAATTTCAATTTAAATAAGCACTAAAAGCATTACCTGAGACTCACTGCACAGGAACCCAAACCTCAACTATGGTAACTTGGCACTCTGCTGTACTCACTCCCTTCCTGCACAATTCCATCATCCTGCAGCTGACAGCAAATGAGGTTGATTGGCTTTTTTCTTACTGGTCATCTCTAATCCTCTCCCCAGAAAGCCACATCTTTCCCTGAAATCTCCAAATTACTTCCAACATATTTCCATTCTGGAGCTTATGGACCCCAGTTCTCCAGTTCTCTACAGGAATGGTGAAGTTATGAGGGGAAAAAAGAATAAATTCCAACATGATCGAAGTTGTTTTGAGACATTTGGCCTTTCCTCTTATTTCTTTCTGCTCTCAAAGCCCACTGACTCTGACTTTCATCCTCAGGAGCATAATCCCCTCCTTTCATCTTTGCCATAATCCTGAAAAGGAAGCTGCTAAAAGTAAAGGAAGGTCAGACCCGAAAAAAACCCACGCAAATGGCTTTCAGAGAAAACTTCTGCTTCTTTTTTACTATTTGTATTTTCCTGCACCACTCTGCAAATCCCTGCCACAAACTATAAACAAACAACATGCACCCTCTCCAGATCCCACTTGGAAAGCACTGACCAATCCAAGTTGGATTCCTTACTCTCCCTCTTTATTCAAGGAATCACAAAGGGTGTGAAACAGTGGAGGAGGAGTCATGTGAACTGGCATTTGATCAGAATCCTGAATAAAAGTAGGGTGGAAAACAAGTGCTCTAACATCAATCCCAATTGTTGGTACAGCAGCAGAAAAATTATTTCAACAGTCAAGACTGGGGGACACCCACACAGGGCCAGGAGCTGCCTCCACAAGGGAGGTGAGAGGTTCTGGGATGGTGACCCTTGGAGCACTGGCAGGAGCAACTGTCTGAAGCAGCTCCTGCTCTCCTGATCATCATCATCATCAAACCCTCACGGAACAGTGAGGGTTGGAAGAGACATTTCAGGTTATTTAGTCCAAACCTACAGCAATAAGCAGGGGTATCTTCAACAGGATCAGGCTGCTCAGAGCCCTGTCCCACCTGACCTTGAATGTTTCCTGGCATGGGGCATCCACCACCTCTCCAGATAACCTGTGCCAACATTTTACCACCCTATAATCCCTATTTGAGCATTCTTCCAACGTGCCCATTCCTGCCGAGGCTCTTCTCACCCCCAAACTTTTTACAGAGACCTTCACTCACCTCATCAGCTCCTCCACTTTGTCGTCGATGTCCAAGTCCTCCTCGGAAGCCTCGAAGCTGTAGGACCTCTGGGCCAGGCTGTTGGCCAGGGGGTAGCGGGTGGGTGACATCTTCCCGTTGAAGGCAGACAACCTCTCGTTACTCTCCCTCCCGTTCTGATTCGTAGTGCAAGGCTGTGGGGAGGTGTCGTAACTGTTGCTTGGGGATGGGGACATCCCGGAGTGCTGGGTCTGCGTGGAAGCCGTGGCCGTCGAGGAAGACGCCGGGACGTTGTTGGTGCTGTTGCTGTAGGAGCCGCCTCCGTAGCCAGACCTTCTCCCGAATTTGTCGCTATGCTCTTGGTCAAGACGGTCCAAGGTTTCCAGGGCGTGCAGGATCTCATGCCTGGTCATTCCCGTGCGTCTCAGGCGCTGCAGGAGGTCGATCTGCTCTATGGTGAATCTTGGCTCGTCTGTGTAGTGAGACATGGTTTCCAGCAGGCTGGAAATGAGGTAAAATACAAAATACTTCAGTTCAAAGCTCCTAAAAGTGGCACATGGAAAGTACTTTATAAACTTTGGTGCAAAACATACACACACACACACACAACAGCTCCAAAATCCACCTCCAAACAACCTCAGCTGGACACCTGCCATGAATGCCAGTCTCACTACACAGTAAAAGGATTTTGGACCTCTCCTGACATTCCCCACACCTGCACCAACCCTGCAGTTTGTGCCTTTTTGCTTCTGATAAACCAATGCTACAGAGACTATGGCTGCTCAGTAATTAAGGCTGCAACTTGATTCCAGCCACAATTTTGCCCAGTGTTAAGTACCCATCAGACAGGAATCTCAGATTTCTGTGGTGGCCACAGATCTGAGTTTTCCTGGACAAGTTTTAACCGGTTATGACAAGAGATTTATGAATCTCAACTCTTTCAAATCTTAACTACAAAGAGTTTGAGTTGCCCTAACTTTTGTTGCTACCTTGGAAAAAAAAGCACAGATAAAAACACACCCAGCGGAAATTCTAGTGGCCTGTAGGACCCAAGTTGATTTGACTGAAGTTTGATTTCTGAAGTTAGGAACTTTTGAACCTGGAATGTTGTCAAAGATTGCCTGCCCTGACAAGAAAAGTGCAGCACATCCAATTACTCCTGAGCTTTCATTTAAAGAAATAAGTCTTCAGCTTTTTCCCCTCCAAAGACTGGCTTCTCAGATAACTCAACCATCCTGGTGGCTCAACAAAATAATTTTTAACTCCTAAAATTCCCAAGGTGCTGTAACAATGAACATTATTTGCTGCAAAGCCCAAAAAAAATTACAGTATGCTCTCTTAATCGCTCTTCTTTCCTAAGTCTCCTGGCTACAGATCCAAATGTCACACAAACAAGAAGATCTCCTCCTTCAGAACTCTAGATCTTGAGAAGGGATGGCAGATGGAGGGCAGGCAGAACTTGGCAAGCAGAATATGGCATTTTCCATCCTTCTCGTGAGTCAAGGGTTTATTACCATTCCTGCAGGAGAGCAGGGTGAAGAGATCACTCAGACTCCAGGAGATGTGACAGAGCTGATGTACAATCCCTGCAAGCCAGAGCAAATCACAGCTGAGGGAAAGTCAAGGAAGAATTCCAAGGACCCTGTGAAAGCCAGGAGAGGGACGATGGCTGTCAGGCTGAGACCTTCCAGGGACAGGGCTGCCTATTCCTCCCCACAAATTTTGAGGATGACTCCTCATGTCCATTTCTGCCCTGGCACAGAAAAGCTCCCAACAGGAGTCATGGAATGACATAGCTGGGGCTGAAGAATAACACTGAGAACTGGCTTGTTGAAGTAGAGCTGAAGTAGAGCTGTAAAGCCAAAGCCAGGATGCACAAATCCACAAAAATGGCACCTGCAGCCTGGGAGATACAGAAATGAGAAGAAAATCCCATCTTTGCCCTCATCCAGCCCTTCCATTGTTTCATGGGAGATGGAAGCAGGAGGACAATGCAAGGGGATGACTCCCATCCAAGAAAATGCCTCTGTGAGAAGACAGACGTTCTACATCCACATCAGCGCTTCAGCCCAACGGGAATGTGCTGTTCTCCAGAAAACTGATTACTGGAAACATCCAGGCCATTTTAAATTTTTCAAGACAAGCACCCAGACTGTTGAACCACAGGAGGGCACGGCAGGCAATGCAGCAGTCGACCTGCGACTGACTGGAATTGTAACAACCACGATTTGGAAGTGGCATCCCAGCCTGAGACCTTCGGAGCTCGACAGCGAGCATTTGGAAACGGACTGTTCTAGGTTTGGCCTCTGGGAGAGGCAGGGCTGCTCCATCCTCTTCTCCCAGCTTTGGGAGAAATGTCACACGGATTGACTGACTCACGACAGACCGCTCCGAGCAGCACAGTTTTCAAACAGAAAATCTCTTTAAACTTCTGGCCTTGAGGTGGTTTTCACTGGATATTCCAGCTCATCCTTCCTCAGGGAAACACCTGGTTTGGACATTTCTTACCTGTATTTCTAATGCCAACACTTCCTGCATCATTTATCTGTCAATAGCAAGTTTTATGTGCTCAAGTTCTTTGTTTGAATTGGAGAATTTAATGAGTCAGAGCCTCCAACCAGAATTACCTCCACTCAAAATTCCTACTTTACAGACTCTTCAACATTTAATACTAAAACATACTTTAAATTATTTAATCATCCATTTATCACAGACACAGAAACCCAGAATTTTTGTCCTTGTAGCCCCGTGAACTAAGAAACTCCCATCTGACAAAAGCAAGACTTTCCAGATGGCTTCAAGAATGTCAAACACAGAATCATGGAATTACAGAATGGTTTGGATTGAAAAAAGGCTGCAAAGTCATTTATTTCCACCCCCTGCTGTGGGCACAGACACCTTCCACTATCCCAGGTTGCTCCAAGCCCTGTCCAACCTGGCCTTGGACACTTCCAGGGATGGAGCAGCCACAGCTTCTCTGGGCACCCTGTGCCAGGGTCTCCTCACCTCCTGCAGCAGTTGGTGGCCATGGGCAGCAATTCTCTCTAAAATTTGGGTGTCATTCCTAATTTGTCTAAAGTGACAGGGCTCAGCTCCTGTATCTGGGTGCCCAAGCCAAATGAATTTCTTTTAGTGAATTACACATAATGATTTGGTGAATCCTAAGTGTCCTTTAAAATTCCAGCTAATGAAGTGCAGAGTTCTCAGATGCAGGGGCAGGGGTTGAGCTCCCGTCACTCGTGGCTGTATGAAGGAAAGAGCTCCAGCCTCAATTTGTCCCTCTTTGATATATCTTGTGTGGGAATTTCAGTTCACAGGGATGCAAAGTAAGATACTCAATGACTTCCAACTCGTATTCTGGAGTCCTGTTCATCAGTGGACTTTAAAGCCTTGCAGAAAGTAATGTAAAAGTAGCAAACCTACAGTGAAATTAACACCATGATACTGTGTTTAACACAACCACTGGAAAAATGTGGACAACTTGAAAAAAAACACAACAAACTAAAGCCAATGATCTGCTTGTTTGTCCGTGCAAAGGATTCTTACAGACCTCCAACACTTTTAAGGCAACTTCTGGGTAATTTTTCAACACTTGAGAGGTAAGAACACCAAAATTAGAGTATCTCCCTGCTGGTCTCACTAATGCCATACAGAGATGTTCAAAGTGCCTTGTTTATATTTGTACACTCAGCATATATTGCACTGACACATCTCACTGGTCTTCTTGATCTGGAACTCCTGTTCCCATCTTCACGTACTTTTCTACACATGAGATCTAGAAATAATGCTCCTGAGGGACTTTCACATATTGAAAACAACTGCAGGAGCTTGGAATTTTCCATTAAAACCCCAAAACAAATATTGCAAAATATGGTATTACTGAACATGCTCCAACATTGACAACTATCCACAACTTTTTAATGAATAACTACAGCAAGCAATATTGTGAACTGTTACTTGTGCAGGACTTTGGTTATTTTCTCTTTTTAAAATATTTTAATAATCTTACCCTGTTTAAAGATCAATTTACAAAGCAGTTAATTAAATCAGCCATTTTAGAATCATCCTAATTTCATTCACCTCATTAATGAGTGGATATTCTCCACCACTTCATCCCCCCAACATTGCAGTAAGAGCCTCTTATCCTCCTGCACTCCTCTAGCTACCTGTAATTCAATTTACTTCCCCCTCTTTTTCCTTGTGAAATACAATCAACTGCAAAAGTAGCAAGGAATAAAATAAGATAGAGACAAGCAGAATGATTGGGGAGTATAGGAGAAAATCAAGATGGGAGATACTTTTCCTGAGAACACTGACTGTGGAGAAACTTTGCTGTAGGCAAACTTTGCTGCCTGTGTAGCAAAATATCCTCTACATCCCATGCTTTATCTGCTATCAATGCTCTCACCACTGACAATGGGCTTGGGGAGACACCCAAAAAAAGAAAGATAACCAAGGGAGAACAGCTGTGCATTTTTCTCCCTGAAATTTTGCAAGCAAAACCTCTGTAAATTTCTAATTAAGCTCAAAACTAAAAGTGACACATTTTTTAACAACTGAATCTTGCTCTTTAAAACAAAGTTTCTTTAGGTCCTGATATGAAAAATAGCCTAAAGTATCAAACTTATTTATATTCCTTACACTAACATAGCAATCATCCCCCCAAAAATGGTCCAATTGTACCGTTACAAAGCATTAAAACTTCATGTTCATCTTTCATGGCTCATCCAAAAGCAACTTGAGGTACCTGAATATCAGATTGAAGGGAGAAGTCTGAGGAGGTAAATAAAAAGGAATTTATTTTCCCTCCCAAACCCGCAGATATAAAATACCCAGCCCAATGCAGCACCACTCCTCCCCTTCTATGGGGATTTTGTGGTGTGGAGGCTGTTCAGGGGCTGCTCTCACCAGCATTCCCTTCCTTCTCACTCCACCAAGGTTTATTTAACTTCTTTTTTCTTTTTTTTTTTAATTAATTTCACCCTTTGGATGGGGGGCTCCCCCCTAGTTTGACTGTTCTGATCTCCTGTTGGGGTATGTGGCCGGAGTGCCCTCCTCCTTTATTTTCCTGCACGGTATAGAGGAAAGAAAAAACACATCAAGGGTTTCTCACCTATTCTCACAGCCCAAGCCCACGCTGATGCAGGAATCATTTACCCAACACTTAACTTTCTAGGTGATGGAGCACAGCAGAATAATCCCATAAAAACAGCTACGAGCTAAGTCCATGTCCAATTGAACTTGCAGAAGTTCAAAGCAATTCAATTACCCGTTTGGGAATAAGGCCAGACAGCAGCCTTAACACCTCTAACACTTGAGAAAATGGCTCTGGACTCTTTAATGATCACAAGAAATCATTTTTTCCACTCTTCTACTCACTGTAGATGAGTAGGAAGCACTCTAGCATCACTGAGGAGATGCTCTTCTGCAGAGGTCCTTCTCCAATTCCCATTAAAATTCACTGCTTTATCTAATAAGCAAAGCTCAAGACTGACAAAACCAGTTGTGCTTTTTGCTGTAAGACCTATATTTGATATAATCTGCATAATATGGATGTGGGCATGAGCCAAAGTGTTCAGAACAGGATCCTAAGTCTGGTAATTGGTTTAAGAATGATTCTGATCAAGTCCCATCAACTGAGGAGAGCAGGATGGGGAGAGATGCCAACATTTACCCTTCTCTGACACATGGCACAGGGTAGGACCCCCCCCTGCTCACAGGGACATCCAGGATTTGTCATCTCATTTATTACAGCACCAGCATTTTTCACAACATCACGGGCAGCTCCTTGGTGTCACTCAATGCCATCTCACCATTTAAATGGAAGAGCAAAATCATGACATAAATTGTGGCTTTCCAGCTGAAATAGGTTTTTCTGAAGTACACAGCTAAAAATATAATTTTCTACAACTCGTTAATTACACCAGAGTTTTAACTACCAACACAGTTGAAAGCTGAACTCCTTAACCTGCCAGATTTTTCCTGTGTGTCTGTGCATCCACTACTGGTAAGAACTACAGCCTGAACAGCTCTGGAGGTGGATGTCCTCCTGATATTAAAAATGGGCATTAAGGATGGCGTTGCTATTTCCAGAGCAATGTAATTTGTTTATCACCCAGTCTGATATTCAACAACTGAATTCACATGAAATACTGCTCCGGATGCTTCCTACGAGAACCAGCAACTACAAAGAAACTCCACTTCCAGCTGCCCACTCTGAATTTTATAACCCTGTTTTAGGTTATGCAAGCTTGTTTCTCTCTCCACACATATTTATGAGATCTGAGAACCAAGCATAGCTTCATTCAGCCCTTCCTTTTCTACACAGAATCCCAGGCTGGTGTTGGTTGGAAGGGACCTTAAAGCTCATCTGCCACGGGCAGGGATGGCGCTGAGAGATGAGGTTGATCAGGGCCCCATCCAACCCTTTACCCCATCCCAAAAGATGCAGCTGCTTCTTACGAGACGCTCAAAGGAAGGGCTTTCATTGAGCTACAGCAGTTCCACAAACAGCACTGACATACAGCACCAAAAAATCCCAGAATATTCTGAGTTGGAAGGGACACACCAGGATCATCAAACCCAGAGGCAAAGACTGCGTGACCCTTCCAGGGCAGCTCTAAGGCACTGCTGGAAGAGAATTGGGGCATTTAGGGCATAACAGTATCCAGTCTTCTGAAATTCAACATTTGGCCTTTTCTGTTCTTACTGCACAAATGAATCTCCTTCAGTTCAGAGGGTGGGGAGGCCCTGGCACAGGTTTCTCAGAGAAGCTGTGGCTGCCCCAGGATCCCTGGAAGTGCCCAAGGCCAGGCTGGACAGGGTTTGGAACAATGTGGGACAGTGAGTGGCATCCCTGCCATTGGAATGAGATGATCTTTAAGGTTCCTTGCAACACAAACCATTGTGTGATTCAATGATTCACAGCAATATAAATATTTCAGAAGCACCTAAAACTTTGCACCATATTAAGCAAAGCTGCCTTCAAAACCAGGAGCTGATGCTGTGAATTCTGGGGCGTAACAGAGGATTAAGGATCTGACTCATCACTTATGCTCATCAGTTGCAACTCCAGTATTTTCAGAGGAGTTGTACCGGTTTTCAAGAGAGAGAGAGAGAAAAAAACCTCAGGCCTGAAGTGCTCATCATGTCAACGAACACAGAGCCATCCTCATCCATACGTTTGCATAATTATCTCCTGCAGTTGCATCTCTGGGTTCTGATTTTCAAAAAAAGGCCTCTTACTCCCATTCACCCTGATTCACAAACAAAATGTAATTCTTGTAATGACTGCTCTCATCCCGGGGAAACGAGAGCCTCGCGCTGCAGCGAGGAGGGAAATCAGGCTCCGAGCTGAGCCGCGGAGCCTCAGCATCACCAGCTCTGTTTAGGAATGCAAAACAGCGGCTCCGGAATGCAGAGCTCTGCCACACGCCTTCGATCAAAATGGGGACAATTAATAAGAGCAGCCTGAAACTTCTGAAAATAAATCCGGCGTAATCAAATACTCACCGCTACACAAATTAGAGGAGGCAAGCTGAGAGCAGAATATCAACACATCATTTCTCCAGGAGGCTTCAAGTTTCTCAGCTGGTTAAAGAGCCCCAAACCCCGACTCACTGCTCTACACAAGCTGCTCTTCCACTTATTCTCTGAAATTCTCTGCTGATAAAATCATTTTAATGGATGCTGGCAGTGAGCAAACCCAGTCGTTTTGCCACTTGGGTGAGTAACTTACTCTGCTTTACATCTCTGGGAAAGAGAGAGAGAACTTGAGATTGATCTTACAAGGCAAAAATATAATATAAATGGCAATTATTGTCATAATCCAAGTCTTACAAAAGGGACTGACCTCTGACTAAGCACAGGGCTGGCAGCCAGATACTTCTGAATTCTACTCAAGGCACACACTGATTCACACTGACACCTTATCTGTCTAACCCTAACCTTCCCTACTTCCAAAATCTGGGTTTCCTGCTATTGTTGCAATTCTACAGCAACAAGGCAGGAATTCAAACTCTGAGCCTGGATTCAAGGGCAGAATGAGGGATCAGCAGGACTAACAAACAGAGAGAAAAACTGTAGTGGCAGCTGAGTGCCGAACCAGGGCCCAAAGCCCAAACCTGTGCCAAGAGCAAGGAGGAGCTCTTGGATTCGGGAGCCGAAGACTAAACTTTGGATATATAAGCTCTGTAAAAGCAGGAGTTGTGTGTTTTAGTTATAGTAAATCTCATGAACACACTGAAATAGTGTAATCCATGTGAAGAAACAGTCATTAAAAAAGTCATCCATAAAATTGAGAGACAGGTCTGCCCAGGACACCAGACTGACCCATCCCTGGAAGTGTCCAAGGCCAGGTTGGATAGGGCTTGGAGCAACCTGGGATAGTGGAAGGTGTCCCTGCCCATGGCTGGGGATGGGACTGGATGATCTTTGGTGTCCCTTCCAACCCAAACCACTATAGGATTCTATGAAAATTCCTAATTTGTAGTCATCAAGATTACAGCGTACAGTGCTGTCTTCTGCCTCCTCCATTTAATCTCGAAAATTTATCAATCCTTTATTAAAATCCAGGAAGAATCTCAGAATTCTTCTCCATTAATTCTGCCACTTGGGGTATCTAAATACTCCAATCACAAGATCTCTGTGAGGCAGGGAAATAACACTACACTAATTACTAATTTTTGTGACCAAGAGCTCCCGGAGAGGGGCTGGACTTTGGACAAGTCCAAATGACTTGTTTGAAGTCACACAGGAATTTTGCAAGAAGGCAGACCAAGAGCCTGGCCAAACTGAGCATTTTCTCGCCACACATACAGGGTCCATCCAGAGCATCACACATGACAAGGTGTAGGACAAGTTTCAAGCAAAGCCATTGCCAGGATTTCCACCACCTCTTCCACACATGAAGAAAAAGAAACATTCTGAAGTGTTTCAGGCACCTTCATTCTCCAGGATCTATCATCAGCACTCACAACTAAAACACTTCCTTTCAAGAGAAATTAATTACTTCAGGAAACTAAAATCCGAACCCAGCAAACAGTTGAACCTCACCTACTCCTGTTTTTGTGCTTAACTACAAAGCAAATTATTTTCCACTGGAAAAACAGGTTGCAAGTGCAGCATTGCTGGCACAGCCTTAGTGAAGACAGAGATTACACTTGGAGAACTCAGGAATAGATAACAGTGTCTCCTTGAAGAAAATAAATCATAATAGCAAAAACCATGGGCTTCTGGCCACTGCTGCTTCCATACTGAAGTTTTATTTTAGTTAAAAGTATTTCAGAAAGAAATTAATGTCCTAATTAATGCTCCTAAAGCAACAAACATTTTTTTGTGTAACCCAGACCCGAACCAGGGAAATTTCCTGCATGACAGACAAGACCCAGTCTAAATTCCACAGTGCCAAGGCCACCACTCCCCCATGTCCCCAAGTGTCACATCCACACAGCTTTTAAACCCTCCAGGGATGGGAATCCACCACTTCCCTGGGCAGCTGTGCCAAACCTTTTTGAGGGAAAAAAGTTTACCATTCAACAAGATTCTTCTTTAGGTCCCTTTTGCTGTGAAATCATGAATTAACTCATCTGGTTTATCCTAAAGCAAAACCACAGGCTCAGGCAGGACATTGTTTCAGTTAAAGAAGTTAAAAAATCCAAATGAATGCTCCCAGAATCACCCACTATATACACAATACTTTGTCACCAAAGACAGAAGATGAAAATCAGCTGAGTTTTCTGTTACTTGAGTTTAATTAACCTGATTTGTGTCACATTTCAAGGACACTGGACAGGTACAGCTCAGCCTGTGGTGATTTTCTAAGCCACTCTAAGTCCAGTACCTGCTCTTCAATCTGTGCTGACTTGGTAGGGTTCACACTCTTGTTCTTTCCTTCCAGTTGTGACAAGGCTTCAATCCAGTCCTTCTCCACCTGCATTATTCACCCTGATTTTCTTTTACTCACTCCCCAGACACCCCTGCCATTGCTGGCAGTTAAATTCATAAGCACTGGCTTGATAACTCAGGTAAATTTGAAGTGACGACAGTGAAACTGTCTGGTTCTATCAGAAATCATACTTTGAGGGATGTAAAACATACTGATGGTCATAGCTCACTATTAACACGTATTAATTAATCAATATAGACTACAAAGCTCAAGTAATTACTCCCATATTTATGGGGATAGAGATAAAGCTGTGTTGGCTACAGGACTTTAGATAAATTCTTAATTCCTGTGAGGCCAAGATCAAGAGTTCTGTGTCCACACCATGGCTCAAAATCCTCTCCAACACTGGCTCTCATCCTACTAAGGGTAAAAATGAGGCAGTGAAATGGTAACTGCACCCAGGGGACTCCTTCTCTTAGGAGTAACCCAACTACTCTCTTACCGTGGCAGTTTTGCAACTTTTCCATCTTAATCTTAATCACTTTGAATTCAAACTTCCAAACATTTTTTTTAAGGCTCCATTTGCTTCTTTCCCCTTCACAATCCCATTTACCTATTTTAGAAGATATCTGTGGTTTAATCTGAAAACTTTCTATCTAAATGGGTCATCTTGGCCCATTTCCTCTCATTTAATACTCTCTAATCCCCTCCAAATAGGTTCCCCCCACTTTTCCCTCCGTCAAAAATTATTCACCTCTACTTCTATTGCATCTTCCATGGCCGTGTTAACTGCACATACACTGGAATAAAATCAAGGAAGCCGCTACTGCTCTGCTGGGAGGAGGCAGCAGAAAACTGCACAGGGGCAGAACCTGACTGAAATGGAGCTGAAACACAGGAAATTTAAGCTATGCAATTCCACGTCTGGAAATTTCTGGCAAAAGCCCGACACAAAGTTGTGACATGTCCTTGTGCTCACTCAAAGCACAGAGGAGCTCTAAGGTCACCCAGCAAATTTCAAATTACCGGGATAACAAAGATGCCCAGGGTGATGTGGCCTTACCTCCAGACTGCTCTCCTGCTGTGAACCAGATCTTTACAATTTTAAGTGGTGATTTTAATAGTGAAGTCCAACATGCTTCCAGCTAAAAGGAAGAAGAGGAGGTGGCTCAAGGGACTGGCAGCAAAGTAGAAAACCACCAGTTTTGAACGGAACACTTAGCCACCAGCAATAGAAAATGACTAATTAATGGTTTTGAAATCCACTGGAGCTTGGTTTCCAACACTAAATCCCTGTCATTCATTATTTTTTTGCTGTGACTCCTTCTACAGAAGGCTGTGACTGCACTGCCACTTGCACTATCACGGTCCAGGGATAGATCTTCATCCTTGAAATAATCCATCTGGGAAAATGTGATGCATTCACAGCAGCCCAGCTCCTTGCTACCTATCCTGCAGAAAAGGTTTCTCTTTCCAGCTCAGTCTGACAGAAGGAATAATTTTAAGTCACGAGGAATCTGATTGCAGGGGACGAGCATTTGGTTGTGCCTGCAACAGGGATATTGCAAACAGCAATACAGAACTGGCCAGTGGGAGATGAGTGACAGCACAGTGCAGGTCAAGCCCTTCCTTTCAGCCTGACAAGCTTCAAAATTTGAATTTATTTGCTTATTTATTGAAGAAACAGCATGGAAACCAATTAAATTGAAGATATATGACAGAAGTAGTTAAAAGGAACAAACTGATTTCAAATTCCACAATGAGATTTGGACAACCTCGATTGTCACTGGGGCTCAAGATACTTGAGTTGCTTGAACCAACACATCCAGCACCAGGGTTAGGTGAGGTGCCCCAGACTTTCTGTATCTGCCAGAGGCCACTAAACTGAAGGTGGCTTATCCCTTTCAGCAGATCTAGAATGGTGTTAAACTCTTTATGCCTCTCATTTGTTGAGTTGCTGTATGAAGATCTCCCCTTTAGCACTGATTTTTCTATGATTTTCTAAGAACTGCATCATTTTCCTTCTCTGTTTCAGTGACAGAAATGTAGAAGCACAAACAATACATGAGGCAGAACAAGTGAGGAATTCAACGTTACTACTCCTTGATTTAAATGTCCAGTTATTTCACTATCCCTGGTTTAAATGTTCCACTAAACAAGTGAAACTCTCCAACTCAACCAACTGCTCATAATCATTGCAACCATTTCTCTGCTATTTTTAGACAGTTTAACAGAACACCACAAAATTACTCTTCATTGTTACAACTTTCTTCAGTTTGTACTTACACTACTGGAAAAGTTCTGAGCATACTTTACATGAGGATGGGACGTTACAAAGCCTCTTGAGGGTCTTCAGTGTTATTCACCATTCTGTAAGACACAAGGAAAAGATCCAAGAACATTAGAGATGTCTGGGAGAGGCAAGGAGATCCAATCACATCATTCTGGATAATCTGTCACTAATCCAGACTCCCAGACTTCAAGGCACACGGCAGATTCTTACAGAGAAAGTTTATGTCTGGTGTTGTAATCAGTCCAGAGACAAAAATTTAAATTACAATTGATTTCTTTTGGCCACAAGTAAATTAATCTATGCAATCATTTAGCCTTATGACAGTTACCTACCCTTTTAACTCACAAAAGCTATTAAAAGGATTATTTGGCCAACATCCGCAAAGAGCTCAGGAGACAGGTACCGTGTTCTGGGGAGGAATGACCTAATAGAATTTTCCTCAGCTATCACTGCTGATGTCTTTCTCCACAAACTAACATGGACTGAAAGTGCTCCAAAAGTCAAACTATTAACCAAGAGGAAAGAGAAATGCAGGATGTTATATCCAGGCAGAGCTGGGATAGAAAATGAGTGGATACACAGTAGCATAGGGAGTTGAACCGGATAATTTCCTCTGCTCCATCTGTAACATCAGCAATGGTGGATTGCTAATCCATGGAGAGCAATCATGGATGGACACATCTTGGCTCTTCTCAGTGGTTTAAAGTGGTCCAGGTATTAGAGAATGAGTCTTACTCCCTTGAGGCCTGCTGAAGACGTTGGGGGAGAACTGCACCTGTCCCAGACGGAGCCCACTGGGCACGCTGGGATGCAGAGGCACAGAGCTGGTTAGGCTGGAAAAGCCCTCTAAGGTCACAGAACCCCAGAATGGTCTGGGTAGAAAGGGACCTTAAAGCTTGTGCTGTCCCACCCTGTGCCATGACCCATTCCATTATCCCAGGCTGCTCCAAATCCCATCCAGCCCGGCCTTGGACACTTCCAGAGATCCAGGGGCAGCCACAGCTTCTCTGGGAAACCTCTGTCAGGGCCTCCCCACCCTCACAGCCAGGAATTCCTTCCCAATATCCCATCCATCCCTGCCCTCTGGCAGTGGGAAGTTATTCCTCCTTTCCCTCCAGCCCTTGTCCCCAGTCCCTCTCCAGCTCTCCTGGAACCTCTTTAGGCTCTGAGGTCTCCCTGGAGCCTTTTCCAGGCTGAATATTCCCAGCTCTCTCAGTCTGGCTCCAGAGCAGAGGGGCTCCAGCCCTCAGAGCAGCTCTGTGGCCTCCTCTGGTTTCACTCCAACACCTCCACATCCTCCCTGTGCTGAGGACCCCAGAGCTGGACACAGAATTCCATGTGAGGTCTCACAAAACAGAGTACAGGAGGAAAATCACCTCCATCAAGACCATTGGGTCACATTGTTACCCCAGCACTGCCAAAGCCACCACTGGCCCATGTCCCCAGGTGCTACATCCACACAGCTCTTAAATTCCTCCAGGGATGGTAATATTGTCTCTACATCGTTCTTTTTTTCCTTTTTTCCTCCATGAAAAAACTCATGAACTTTCAGGACCAAAGGCTGGGCTGAAAGAACTTTCCCAGAAGTGGCAGCACTCAGCTTTTGGCCACCAGCTTTCCTGGAAGGCTTAAGCCTGTCCACAAGAGCCTTCTCCCACCCAGCTGTGGCCAGGGAAAGCTCTGGGTGTTTCCAGGGAGGGGAGGTGCTGAGAGTTGGCTGCTGCTCTTCCAGAACAACTCATCTGGCCCACACTGAGGTGCTGAGCTGCCTCTTTCTCCCCAGGAAAAGAGGTCACCAAGACAAATGGTCCCAGCAGACCCTCACAGGCCTCACGTTCTGTGAGCTGGGAGAGAATCAGTGACACCAAACCACTGATGGATGGAAGAGCCAAACACCCAGGTCCCTCCCAAACCTTTCAGAGAGACTCCCCCATCAAACCCCTCCTCTGACAAATCTCCTAACTGCATTTTAAACATATTCCCCAAGGCAGTCACAAAAAATATGAGATCATGCTGCTGACTTCTTGCCAAATTTTAATACAGAGAGCTGTTTTGTTTTCCAAAGAGGAACAAATTAGACTTAAATATATACAAACTTTCTGAAGGTCACAGGGGTTAATGATAAAGAACTGGATTCCTCAGAGAAAGATCTGCTTCCAGGGTGAAGAATGTGGATGTAGCGAAGAAGAAAACCCAGAAAGGAAAGAAAAAAAATCACCTTCCATCATCATGAAATGCAGGATTAAAAGTAGAACACGAGGAGATGAGATAAGAGAAGCAAAGAAAAGGCTGCTGTAACTCAGGTTTTGAGATGACAAAGGCAGGAGGATGATATTAGTGATAGCAATGAAAGAGGAAAAAACTGGTATGGACCTCAGATGTTTTAAGAGAAGAGCCATTAGGATCTAGACCAAATTTGGGACGTGATTAGAGGAGGAAGATGAGCTTTTCCAAGAGACTCCAGATCTGTGAGTGCAGTCAGAGGACGACAGGATTTCAGCAGAAAAAAGCAGCAGTAAATCCATGAGAAAATAGGGATAATTCTGGTTTTGCTGTGTTAAAGTGTCAGGCAGGTTTATTACACTCAGAACCAGAATTACACTCAGAACCAGAATTACACTCAGAACCAGAAATTATCCCAGACTAAGGAAGGAAGGACAGGGAATGCTCAGGTCTGCCTTGGGAGCAGGACTGGTGAAAGGAAACCCAGCTCCAGAGAAAGGAGAGGAAGCTGGTGCTTCCTCCGGCCGCTGCCAGCCCCGAGCGGCCGCTATTGAAAAGGGGCACAAACAGTCTTTGACTCCACTTTGGTCTAAAGTTCAGTGGCACAGAAATACCTTCCCCACCCCCAGACACATGTGAGAAGTTGCTTCAATGCTTTTGTCACTTAAGGGCACATCAGGAACAAGCAAACCCTTCACCTAAAATCTCAGTCAAAACAATTCAATCCTGACCAACATAAATTCCATCAGCAACAAATCCTGATTCTGAATCATGACTCAATATCCCTTTCCCTCAGTCTCCTTTCAGCACAAACCAAAGCAGTCTGAGCACAGCAGCCACGGCAGGTGTCACCACTCTTTGTGGTGATACGGGAGTAAGAACTCACAAACCTTTGCCCTTTTCGCATTATTCATTAAATAAATTATCTGCTAACCCAGGGAAAACACAACCAGCTCCCCGTCCTATTTCTGGTAGAGACAATAAAAAAAAAAAAAGTCACTATTAATATGGAAATCATGGCTGCAGTTGTAGAATCGGATGTAATGAACAATCTTGTCCCCAGCTTAAGTTGCTATAAAGGCAGCTTAAATTTACAATGGATGAGTCTTCATGGCAATCTGTTTTTCAGATATTAAAAATCTCATTTTCTCGGTGCCAAGGACAAGTGGAAGTGTGAAGCACTGGAGTATCAACTCTGCATTTGTCTCACTTGACATGAAATCATTCTCATTTTAGTTCTGATTTTTAATACATTCTTGGGATCCCCTTCAGTTTTCTTCATTTCTCACTGTGTGCAATTAAATGTTTTGAAGTAGAGTTCACCCTGATCCCCACAACACCCTGCAGAAGCAAGGAGAAAGTTACTTGGTAAAGATGAGGCTGATATCACTTATTTGGAAGAGAAACTCATTTTCTCTTTTAATTTCTGAGTGACTCACACAATATAAAAATATTTTAAACAAAGCCACCACTTTGTATTTCACTAATACCTTCCTTGGTGAGCTCTTAAAATGGGCTTTACAAATAACAAACTAAAAGCTTTTGTCCTTGGGGAAGACAAACATCACCATTTTGACAAAAGTAAAACATGAACAGAGGGGCTGAATTCTTGGCTTAAAGCCACCCAGGGCAATATCAGTGGCTGAACACAGCAGAGGCCCCAGCACTACAATTGTCACACCACTCCTGAAACCACCAAGGTCCAGGCTGCTGAAGAAATTCAGCCCTAAGAACAAAGTTCTAGCACTACTGAACTCACAGTAAAGGCAGATCCCCATGCATAATTACAAACAATTACTCTCCTAGAACACCAAAAATTTAAAAAATTAGGTACTTCACTAAAAAAAAAAAATTTTTTTTTTTTTTTTTTAGTAAAGGGTTAAGATCTGCTCTTTTATTTTGAGGTCTGTAGGAATTGTCAGGTTTTCTGGGTGGACCCTGTGCATGTGTGTTCACTGTCCATGAATGTGTGTTGGGGAGGTTCAGGACATCAGGAGGAATTTCTTCATGAAAAGGGTTGTTAAACATTGGAATGGGCCCAGGGAGGTGGTGGAGTTCCCATCCCTGGAGGTGCCCAAGGCACAAATGGGTGTGTCACTCGATGTTCTGGTCTGGGTGACAAGCATCTGCCAAAGCTGGGACTCAATCCAGTTGGATGGTTCTGGAGGTCTTTTCCAACCTAAATGATTTGGGCTTCAATTGGCTTTTCTAACTGAGGCCAGTGTGAAGTAAAGCTGTTACCTAGGTTAACTTCCCTCCCAGGACATCTCTCCTCAAAACCAGCAAGACACCAAGGATCCATCCACTCCAGTTCATTCTGGTGATTAATCACCCTCTCCACTACAAATTTGTGCTTGATTTCTACTTTGAATGTGTCTGGCCTCACATTCCAGACAGCAACCCTCCTTTGTCAGTCCCAAGTCCTTTATTTCTGGGAGATGTTCAGGCAGGCTTTTATTTACCAAGTGCTTTTAAAAGTCCAGGTACCGTGTTTGTATCAAAACTTAAATTCATCTGGGTACACGCACAAAAGTAGGACTAGTGTCCAAAATACTGGAGCTAATCTAGGACTCTCTAGCCCATTTTCCCAAAATAGGCATATTAGGGAAAAAAAAAAAATTAAAAAAAGCTTTGCCATATGACTCAAGGATGTGTTTTATTTGTGCACGGCTCGGTGACGTGCAGCATCCAGTTCCACGTGGAAATCCTTTTATCCAAGCTCCCTGCTCGAGCAGGGCCACCAAAGCCAGTTGTTCAGGACCATGTCCTGAGTATCTTCAAAATTCAAGATTTCATTTTCTCTCAGCAACCTGCACCAGTGAGTGGAAAACAGCAAAAGATCAGGCTTTT